CCTGAGAACTTCCGTCTTCTAGGACCCACCTTGATAGGCAATAGCCTCTTATATGGCGAGTGTTGTTGTATTAATTCCAAAGCGCGTGAAAGTTGTTGCAAAGTGGATAAATATAAAATATTATTAATGCTTCCAACGGTAACAAATGTGATTGGATAAGTCTTAATAACAATAATAAGACAAAAATTATGTCCTTGACAAGAATAAGTTAATTCTGTTAACCAAACACCGCGGATCTCCATCTTCAGACACCAGAAATATTTTCGTTTTCCTTTAGTTTCCCTCAGCTTTTCTCGGGAACCAAACAACCTCTCTCATAGCCGAAAAAATCAACAATGAGCGAAACGGCTAACTCAGTCAACGATACTGAGAGATCGGAGCTGGAACCCAGCCAGAAGCGCCAAACCTATTTCGAGGAAAACCCTGATTCGGCGGCGAAGAGACCGAAAACTGAGGAAGGGGAAAAGGCGGTTGAAGAAGACAACAAGAGTAGCATGAAGGAGAAGGCTTTCGAAATCGAAGCCGATGTGGCGGAAGATAAGGGCTCGAGACACACCATGGAGGATGCTTGGGTTGTTATGCCTGACGCCTGCTTGGATTCTCCGGGAAAATTAAGGTTATATCTTGTTCTTATCGCCTTTAGCAATGAAAATGAGACTGAAACTTACATGGGTTCTCTTGGTTTTGTTATGCAGATGCGCGCATTTCGCAATTTATGATGGACATGGGGGCCGTTTAGCTGCAGAATATGCTCAGAAGCATTTACATGCTAATGTCCTTTCGGCTGGCTTACCACGTGAGTTGGTGTGTTTGCTTGGTCTGATTTTATGCCTGCATATAATCAATCAAATTGCATTGTGTTCTGTTCAATTAAAGTGAAAGTTCCTTCCTTTTTTCACATCCCCAATCCTCATGTGCGTGCTACAATAAAATGAAAGAATGGGATAACCTACATCTTTACTTTGCAGTCCCTTTTTCAATTCCTTTAGAAAGTGTCAGCAGTGTCTCTCAAATTGTAATTAACCTATTCTTTGTTGGCCTAATGGTCATGTGTGATGTCCTGGGAATTTGAGGATTTTGGACATCTAAAAGTAAAATTTCCAGTCAAATATAAGTATGGGATAGAGATAGACTGTGCCACCTCTAAGCTGCCCAGGGCCGAATTACTTTAGGCTTAGTTTGATATCGCTGATAGGTAACTGCAGCTGTAGGTTTTTTAGTCTTTTAACACCTTAAACATATATAAAATATATTTTATATATTTTTAAAATAGTAAAAATACATAAAAACCAAAAGGTAAAGCACCGATAAGTGTTGTCAAATGAAGCCTTAGTCTGGTTTATCTGGTCTTGCATTCTATACTTTACGACTGTTTGCATGGATTGTCTGATCTGCTATTATGTATTGAGCAAATCACATCATCAACAAAAAGGCAATGGGAAAGAAAATTAGATTTCATGAAGCTTCTTTGTTATTTTTTCTTTTCAACATTTTTGGATGTCTTGTAAATGATTTGTATGTAATTCTTTTCAATGATATTGCAGTTAGATGTTAAAGCTGCCAAAAAGGCTATACTGGATGGTACGTTTTTCTTTTTCATGTCTTTTGTCCAACTGAATTGAATTATTCTTTTCTTTTAATCCTTTTGGCTTTTTAGTGCTCATCGGTTATAAGGGTTTTATTTGCATTCATTTTACTATTTTAGGTTTCCAGAAAACTGATGAGGCTCTTCTTCAAGAAAGTGCTTCAGGTACAAACTGTTTAACTCTTTGAGTCTCTTGGTACTTGAGCCAGTGATCGAGTGCATTTGTTGAAGCAAAATCATTCTCTTTATATTTGTTTCCACTTGTAGTAAAGCTCAATAAGTTGGCAACTAAAATGAAGGTGTAGCATTTGAAGATGAAAAATGCTTTCATATCATGACTGCAACTTATTATATTTGTTTTTTGGAAGAATATAAAATGTAGTTCATTAATTAAATATGGAACCATGCTTGAGAAGTAGAAGGAACCCGTAAGTAGATCAGATGCCAGAGAAAAGAATTCAGAATATCTTGTTAGCTTGCCTGCAATGCCATAAAATAACAGCAAAGAAAGAAAATATTATTAACAATTTTCTCAATATATGTTTTACTTTCCCCTTATAAATCCATTTATTTTAAGCCATTGTTTCAGCTTTTGGTCTGAGCACTATTTAAGGTGATATTACATTCTAAGTTATTTGGAAGGAAAATAGAGAAAAGTATGGAAGAAGAAGCAATATTGCAGTAATTTCATCTATTAGTTATTTTCAGCATGTCTACTACTTTTCGCTGTTTTTCTTTTTTGCATTTGTCATGGTACAATTCTTAAACATCTGAAGCATGTTGTCTGGATTCAACTTTACATTTGTAAAATCTTATCAGCAGGATGGCAGGATGGAGCAACAGCTGTATGTGTCTGGGTGATAGCACAAACTGTAAGCTCACTATAATCATTCAGAATTTCAAATATGCTTGATGAGATAATACGAATACTTTTTAGGACATTAGCTAGAAAATTCTTTGCTAATTGTGTGCTTCAGTGCTTAGTTTACTCAACATCGCTTAATTGCAACAGTTCTAATCAATATAAGGGATGGAAATATCTTAAAGATTTGTCCTTTGTTTCCAACAATTTTGTTCTTCTATTTTGCACGTTGTGAGATATTTTCTGTCTGATATTCTTTTGATTCTGTTGTCCTTTCCGCTCAAAATAACTTTCTAAATATATTGCAACATTGTTTCTAGGTTTTTATTGCTAATATTGGGGATGCAAAAGCAGTACTGGCACGATCATCCCCTCCTGATGGATCAGATGGTCCAAGTCCACTGAAGGCCATTGTTTTGACAAGGGAACACAAGGCCATCTATCCACAGGAACGTGCTCGCATCCAGAAGGTAGGGATAAGCAAAGAACACAGCAACCCTTCCTTCCCCCAACTCCACACCCCTACAGATTCGATATCTTTCTGTCTAGCTTCAAGTCTTTGTCTTCCTGGTAGATTTATCTGCCTATCTATCTATTTATCAACATATTGTTTTCAGATTGTTCAATATTACATAACGAGACTTTAATAATTGAAGAGGTGATGATATATATTTCTATCAACTCAGCAGTTTGTATGGCTCTATCTAGCTTCATGTCAGACATAGCTACCTTTCTATCTATCTATCAACATAGTGTTTTCAGACTGACAATATTTCAATAATGAGCCTTTAATAATTGCAGAACATTGATATATATTGCTCCATACCATGTAGTTTGTACAAATTCTTTTCTACAAAATAATGATATATGAATCCACCAGATGTGATCTGATCTGACAGCGGGGTAACATGCAGAAATATGTGTATGCATTTGGTGAAATGGTAAAAGATGGATTCAATTGGGAGTAGATCCTAGGTTCATCTTGAATGAAAAAAAGATTCTAGATTTATCTTGTGAGTAGATTAATCTAGGTTAATAGAATTATTATCACACTAGGTTAATAGAATTATATCACATGGGTAACAGGAGAAGATAGGAAGGAGATCCAAATTTTTGTCTGTCAGGGTGGGTGCACAAAAAGCTCAACTATTTGGAAGTATTAGCTGATATCCATTTTAATCTGCTTATTTTGAAACCTTGTTAGAGTCACAATTACCATACCTTGTTTTCCAGGCTGGTGGTACTGTGAGCTCTAACGGAAGATTACAGGGGCGCCTTGAGGTCTCTAGGGCCTTTGGAGATCGTCAGTTCAAAAAGGTTAGAAGTACTTTCTTTTTGCATAGTTGACTTAGCATTTTTGTGCATGGGTTTATCTTGAAAATAGGAAAGAAAATATAAATCATGTCTTTACCTTTAATGATATAAAGTAAGTCTTCTTCATATGGCACCATTGTTGAGATATTTATATTTCTTATTCTACTTTTAGCTAAAATTTTTTTAAACTAGTTGATGACTAACATCTGAAGGAGGTCTGGAACTGCAGGTTGGTGTTGTTGCAACTCCAGATATTCATTCCTTTGACCTTACAGATAGAGAGCACTTTATTATTCTTGGTTGTGATGGCCTATGGGGGGTAAGTTTTCTGCTATCCAGATTTTTTTTCCATGCTGCCATCCAGATATGGATACCATTTCTGTCTATATTTTTTTCTTCTCTCTTTGCCATTCTCATAAAATTAAGTTCCTTGATCTGTTTCAGGTATTTGGATCAAGTGATGCTGTTGAATTTGTTCAGAAACTACTCAAGGTGAGAGATGATTTCTCATTTTAATTATGAAATAGCAAAGAATGCATTTTCTGTTAACCTTTGTTCTTTTTTTTTTTTTTTTTTGGTACTCTTGAACATCATAA